CCCTCTCCCATCCCCCTTCTCCAAACGGGAAATGTTTATTTGATATATGCATAGCAACAATTTCAGACTGAATCCTTTACATGTTGTCTTGATAACCAGAGCAATTAAGAAGCTCAGTTGTGTAGTCAAGACCACTTGACATATACTTGACGGATGGCGTATCATTACGTTCCAGGATAATTCACCAATTTCAGGTCGATAAAAGCTATAATGAGAAGTCACCCACCTAGAAGGACGACCGTTAATGAGATTACGATTAAAACAAGACGTTATGAGTTGTAGAATCCATTAATTCCGTATTTTGTGTTAAAGCACTTTATTTGGGAATGTTGTCTGCGAATATAGTCAATGTTTAATACTATATGACGAAGGCTGGCGACCTAATAAGCATGGTCAATTTGTAGCGTTTTAAAGCCGTTGGAAAAGATAAAGACGAAAACAAATATTGGACCTTTGGAAGTGAGTAGTTTTTATTCGTGTGAGAAGGTAACAACTTACTGTTACTTTGTGTAACTCTTTCTTAAACATGCTTATTGTGTTGAACCCATCAAAAAGTATGCCGAGCATGCTTATTTTCATGTGTTATGAAATTTTATGTTTCTTTTATTGAAATGAAATTTTTGAAGCCAATCTTATTGATGTGTGCCCCCGGTTTTATTTCTCGCTCTCTGTGTGTTATTCCTTGTATGGTAGAAATATCCCGGGAGATAAGCGGCGAATCTATACTTTTGGTAATGTTATTAAAATGTCTAAGAAACCGCCTGTAGTAATAGAGCCAAATCCGGATTTTGAGGTCTGCTATTTAAAGCGTTGTGATTAGGCCCCGCAATCTCTATCTGCTGATTGTCTAGTCGCCTTTGGGCTCCTAATTCGATAATACCGTGATATAAGCCAGCGATTGATTGATTCCTGTTTTCCTCAACTGTTTGTCTGTCTTTCAGTTTCTTGCTAATTTTCTGCACGTTGGATATGCACTGCAGAAACTGCCATTTTCATAGAAACCCTCGTTTAGCGGTTAAAAGTGTTTATAATGAAACTCCATTAACAAATGCTTGTCTATATTTTATACAACGGACATCTCCTTAAATGGTCACCTCCGTACAACGGTCATCTCCTTACAACGGTCATCTCCCTACAACGGTCATCTCCCTACAACGGTCATCTCTCTACAACGGTCATCTCCCTACGAAGGATACTTCCCTACAACTGACATCCCCACAACGGAAAGCTCCTTACAATGGATACCAATATACAACGGAAAGCTCCCTATAACTGACACCTTTCCTGCAAGGGACGGCTGTCTACCACGGACACCTCCCTACAACGGACACCTCCCTATCATGATACCAGTCTACAACGGACCCCTTTTTACAAAGGACACCTCTGTGTTACGAACAGTTGCTCTGGTCCCGAAAGCGGTCGCTATAATGAGGATTCACTGCAGTACAATGTTATTTGTCAATCAAGTGATTTGTTTTAACTTTTATATAGTGTTAGCGGATTTGAGCTTGCCTAGACAGCCTGTCAGCTAAAGAAACCTTGCGGGGCTATAACGTAAATTGGTGACCATTACAATGCATTCTAAAAAAAGCCCCTTTGTTTCAAGCTGCTCGAAGATTGCCCAGTTTAGTTTTTTGCAATGTGGAAGCTGCTCCCATTACTAATGACACAGCAAGTGTAAATTGAATTCCTTTTTTGCAGGTTCAAGACTCTTCAGAGAATTTTCAAAGCCGCACTCTAAAAGGTAAAATCTGCTTGCGCCGTTAAAATTTATCGATTTGATAACGTGGCGAGAGAAAGCTGTGGAGACAAGGCCTATGTGCTTTGTGAAGCAGTTTGTTCATTTTATGGATGCCATCCCATCTCTAACGAAGATTCGCAGTTAAATGAGACTTATAATTCAACAGTCCGAATGCTTTCAATTAGCAGTGTTGCTTGATGGTAGTTCACACCATACAGTATGGAAGTCTTTTTGGAACAGGGCTCCTCAAAAGAACCTTGATCATTTCCTGTAGCTTCAAGTCTGCTGTAAATTGAATTTAATGCTGTGCGATACTTCTAAGTACTACATACAATGGAATATATTGTTTATTTACTATTGACCTATAGTATTGTTTCAAAATTTTGTTCTTACGACCAAGGCAATGCTATAGATACCGACAACATAACGTTGGCCAGCCACTCTGGTTCCAGAGGTTTCCGCCATATCGATGTTGCACTGTATTTTGAGCAAAACGTCTTTATTAACCTCTTACCACAACATCTGTAGACATGTTTGACCTTGTGGAGAATGTAGAACCAAAAAGCATAGTATTCAATACCTTTTTTGTCTGGTTTGATTCGATTGAATGCAGAGTTGGATTGATGCCTTGATGTCCCATCCGATTTCTTCAATACTTTGTCGTCTTTATGACGCTATCTACAGAATTTTAACGGCCTTGTCTCCGTAACGTCATATGAATATTTAATAATCAATAGATCCTTAGGCATTTGTGATGAGATCATCGCAAATGTTTAAAGGTGCTTTTTAATCTTTGTCTCTGGATTTCATCGAATCATCAGCTTTGTCATTCCTACAGCCAATAACGAACGTTATCATCTTTTGACTGGCTTTGTCTATCATATAATACGGTGATATTTCATGAAAATTTTTGAAATCCATTTTTATCGAGGACACAAGACGTGTTAAGTCCAGTAATCTGCTTCTCAGACCGTTGAATGACGTCATTTCCTCATTTCTTCATTTTATCTGCAGATTTGAGGCTGTGTGTACGACACCAAATGAGTGGGAGGGTTTTATTCTGTAAGTATTACTCATTTCCTTTTTACTTTTATGGTTATGATCCATGCAGGAATGGTTGTAGGTATTCCCCCAAACATTGGTTTAATTGAAGGTTTCATTTGAAAGTTGTTTGAAACACCCTTTATGTGATGTTTCCATCTACAATGCCCATCAAAGTTACTTTCAACACTGAGCAATTTTCATTGTATTTTGCATTATTCTTTTCCTTTCCTTAACATTACTACTTCCGCCCTCTTTCCCACCCAGAGTTAGTTGACATGGTTAAAGTTTAGGCAAATGTTATACAAGTCTCATGGAAAACGTACTTGCTAATTTCCTACGTCGTTTGTTTTATGATAAACCAAAATAGTTTCCAGGGGGAATAGGATGACTGAATTTACCTTTGAAAACCTTTGTCTGTGTTCCAAACTTTGGCAGGGACTGTAGTACGAATTTCCGGTCAGTTCAGACCTCAAAATGTACTTTACTTTATGCAGCCTATGTTCATTTATATTTTTAGACAATGGTTTTGCTAAAATTGTCAATAATGTTTTAGTGAATAATGGGCTTGCAATTTGATTAAAATCATGATTGACAATGTTTGTCATGTTGCTGTAGAAAATTTATGAAAATATCTAAATATTTGTTTAATTGTACAAAGCGTTTTGTGTACATTTAACGTTTTCACGAGTGTTCCTGTATAGCTGTTGACTTTTTGTTGCTTTTAACAGAACTTTGAGACCGTCACCACACAAGAACGAGAGAGAGCTGCATAAATCACTCAAACATGTCTGGGGTAAAATCAAAGACCACATGCAGTTAGCACAACTGAAAATGAAGGGACAGCTGGAGCTTAGTCAAATGGCTGTGAAAGAGCATTTTGAGGTATGACCTTTAGTATGCAGTATTACCCTTTAGTATGCAGTATATACTAGTAGCCAGTCAAACAATATAGGCCAACAATACAATGTCGTCGATGACTAGGAAAGCTGGAAGCAGTTGACGTTAAAGGCAGAAAGACCGCAGAAGTTGTGAGAACATAGTGAAAAGCAGCTGACTATAAACACCCCTCCCTCCTACCCCCGACAACCCCTTTTTTCTTGCGCAAGTCTATCGCACGTTGCTTATGCTTATTTTACTTTAAAATAAACCTCGTTGTGAAGAATTGCTTTGAGTTTTTATATCGATAACAAGGCTAAGCATGATTTAAAAACCCAAGGTGAGGCTCAATGTCCATTAACTTTAGCGTGTACATCGAATCTCTGGCTGAAAAGACGGTGGTCTCTATGCGGTGGCAACTTATTTGCCTCTATGATTGTTTCTTAATGAGGTTGTTGTTGTTTACCATAGCTCGGGCTGAATATTTATGAACCTGCAATCGATTGACTTTCTAAACTGTTTTGACGCTTTTTGATGCTACCCGCATAATTGCTGGTAAAGATTAGAAGTCACACGACGGCTTTATATCAGAAGCGCAAACGCACGCTTTTATTGTATTTGAAGTGACAGGTGTGTTGGTTAAGAGGTTTAAATTGAAGGAGAGGTAAAACATGCTAATATGAAGCATTAATGATGAATAGGATGTTTATTGTTTATGTCGTTGGTTTCGCCCGGGGGCAAACGCGAAAGTCCCGCGGTGTGTATTAACGGCACCTATCAAACATCAATTTATTTCTTACTGATTAGAAAAGCCTTGTTCAACGATTGAAAATATTTTACAACCGATTTCTGGTGGACGCTTCAAGCGATTCCAAAAATACCAAGGACCTTCGTATTATATATTTATTTTTTCGCAACTCCTCAAGATGAGTCATCTTTATTTTGCCTATAATTTATCTTCCGATTTCAACCACACCGCCTTTCTGTCTCCTCCCCTTCCTTTCCTTTTCCTCTGGCTTCATGTTTTAGGCCCAATCTATTTACAATGACTAGCTAGTTAATCACATTAATATTGTTTTTCGGGCACTCGTCATGATGTTTGTCCTCTTTGCTCCAAACAACTTTATATATATTAGCAATTTGCTATTTTTTCCTGTCGGTTGACGTTGTTAGTGTTTCTTGAGAAGGCGCCTTGCCCAGCTTAACCAAATCGGATACCTTGGTTTCTACAGTGGCTTATTTAAGTGTTTTGTTGTTGTAAAACTCGGTGTACTTGGCATTAAATGTCAGCTAAAAATGAGAAATTGTTATCTGAAGCCATGCAGTAAATTTATTTTTGCATTGACCCAGCTCTCGAAAGTCTTCCTGTGGTTTACTGTGGAATGCTGTAGGAAGATTTAAATGAAGAACGAATAAGTACAAAGCAGTACCTGGATTTCTGTATCATTGCATATTAAACATATTATAGTTGAAGAAGCATCAAACAATGTTAATATGATAATATCGACGGGTTTTGTTAAGATACATCTTGTCTAATTTCAATGCAATAATGTTACATACATCAAACAATGATACAGAATTTCATGATATAATAAAAGGCCCTTTGTTTGCTAATAGGCCACGAGTAGGCCTTGTGTAAATCACAAGTCGATGAATTTCGCATAGTAACATATTTTTATTTGTTAATGCTCAACTTAGATTTACAAAGGCTCAATCTTTTCGTTTTAAAATTTCATTTTTGATTGTCTGCTGTTTTTAATTCGAGAATAACTTGATATCAGCCATTGCGTTAGACTTAGGCCAAATCACGAGTCATGGAACCCTTCTCAAATTGTTCTTGCTATTGAGAATTATTCTATAATTTCCGTAAACTAACCTTTCTTAGTTTTTTAAGTTTTGAGAAACATTGCTTTGATATCAACCCAGCGTTTAAGTTACTGCCTGGACGCAGGGGAAGGATATGCGAGATGATCAAGCGCCATTTTGTTAATTGAAATTTTGAAATTTCGGCCGAAAAGTCGCATAGGCAAATATTACACGAAGTACTATACTTCTTTGCAAATACAGTATGTCTTTTCGATGTGCTACAATATGACGCCTAATTATTTTAGGCCCGTTAGATTAAGCAAGTTATATTAAGGTGTCGATATAACATAAATTGAAAGTGAGAAATTTTATTTATGGTGATAATGTTTTTCTCGCCTCATCGGTATTGTTGGCCTCGTCAGAATTAATCTTCTTGCACCATCACAAGCCAGTGTGTGAAAGTGGTCATAACTGTATTTCCATCCGTGTTGCTTTGTCTTGTTCGACCGTCTGCCAGAATGAGCCGTCTTTTTGTCTTTGTTGTTATTCATTCAAGTGTTAGCGACTGCGTTATGAATGTTATTAAAAGGAATATTTCGGTTTCTAGCTCACCGGGTACCCGTATTTAGTTGATCAATAAACTGCACAGGTATCTGAGCGCGTAGCGACTCAACAGGACCGCTTTAACCTGTTCGATGCCATGGTTGAAAGAGTTCATTTAATTAGATGTAATGAAATTTATGCACTTCGTATGTTATGATATGGAGACTGTACTGAAAAAAGGATCACAACTTTCATTATTGATGCTTCGTCCAGGAAAATTGTAAGTGTTGTTTCTGTTGCACATTTTAAAGCAAGTCCTAGCTTGGCTAGGCCAAATACACTGCTTGCTTGTTCTTGTCAGCTCACTCTGAGCATCGAGTATTGTTTGAATTCGTCAACATACGATTGCTAATAGGCCTAAATCCCCACGATGTTGATATAGTTGCTTGAATTGGTAAATGGTCGCTGTTACTTTTACGTTTACATGCAGCACCGATGTTTTGATACGTCTACCATTTAAAAAAAAGGAAACTCGATTCCTAGATTCCTAGACCTAGATTAATATTTCTCAAGGCAATTTATGCGGAAACAACTCGGGATTATTTGCATTAATTGAAGGAAGATGTTCAGTCCCATCACACATAGTTGTTTTTCATTTTTGTACTAGCTAAATCTCGCAAAATATTGCTAAATGATATTGCAGACTGCCTTCAATTTATAAAGAAAATTTTTGAAAACGATGTTTCCTGATAACATTTTTCGTGTATTCGAATAAATATTTAAAACAGGGTTTAAATTGTTCACTGCTGTGATAATTTCCGGACCATTGGATAACTTATCAGTTTAAACCATGTCCTTACTAAAGACCTGTTCGATTCTTATAATTTTTTAGATAAACAACAACTCGAGTCTTGCTGCTATTGTTTTATGATCATGTTCCATATTGCTTTTATAAGCTATTAAAACTTCGATATAATTAAATATTAGTTAGTTGACTTCGCGTTATCAATGTACCTTGGGTTTCCCAGTCGTTTTTCTTTAATGATGTTTGTTTGGCCGGTTGCATTCTGGGTTCCGTTTATTGTCAGCCAAGGCCAAAAGACGCTACACATTTCTTTTACTCCCACAGAATCTTATCGTTTAATTTTCGCTCGCTGCTATTGTCTTGTCGTTTCATCGATTGACTTAAAGATTTTTCTGATTTATCAGACAAAGACAATTATGAAATTTAGAAGTATAAACCCTTAAATTCTGAGCTTTTGATAATTTAGACTTTAGTCCATGAAGCATCGGCTCGATGAAAAGGCTGCCATGGGGAGGGTGGTTGACTGCCCCTTCATTAGAAGGTTACTGATTTGTTAGTAATGTTGAAGAATTTTACCGTTAACTTGCAAACGATGTATCTTGCCCTACTTGGGTTAAAGCCCATTTTTAAAAAGTGGAAAACTGCAACGGACTAACAGTTGTGTTTGCGATTTTGCAAAACTTTTGACTTTATAGAAGAGGTTACGAGTCAAAAAGCATCGTGTTTTTGCAACTCTTATTTCATAACTTTGTCGTAAATGTATTTTAAATGGGCTTTGCACGCAAAATGTGATGATTTTTATGTCCTGTTCAACACTTTGTAGATAGTTGACTAATTTTATGTATATTTTTGTTCTATCGTATGATCACTTATCACGATGATTTATCATAGTATTATCACGAAAACTTTTATATGCCTTCGTTTTCACCTGAAAAACTAGAGCCGCACGTTGTAGCCGAATGAATAACAGTGCAACAGCTGCTCGCTATGTAGCCACTAAGTGGACACTATTTAAATGTCTTGGTTTGTTGTTAACTAAAAATATCTCGAAGTTTTGTGTTATTTTGGGTGAGTAGTCAAACGGCGCATTTCTGCCAATTAAGTCTGTTGATTTAGTTGACTTCGGAAGGTGCCCTACTGCCTGTAGAGGCGGCCTTAGGCCACTACAATTGATAAATATGGAACCAGTTGCAAAAAGTATAACAAGAGCTCTATGGCCATTCCCTACACTTTCAGCCTTTTCATTCTGTATCCATTTGTAAACGTTTGTAGAGTAGTCTTCCTGGATGCAAACTGCGTTGTCCATATTGGAGATCTTTTCCGAGTGTGGTGGCGTTTTTTGGAGTGATTAATTTGCGGTTATTCTGTGGTTTGGATCTATGTCTTAAAGAAGACCAAAAATGAATGAATTCTATATGGAGGGGTATTTTCAATTGAAGGAAGCTGCTTCTGTTCGATAAATATTGATGTTTCTTGCAGTTGCTTTGACCATTACAGAAGTTCTGGTTGCATTCTGTAAGATCTTCGCCGCGTTTTTATTTGATATTTACAGATTTAGCATTGAGAAGCTGGCGTATTCTTTTATCGTTGCAAGTGTTGGTGCCATATTTATTGTGAATGAAGAACGTAATAGGCACCGCGAGAAAATGGATTGTGTTTGCTTATGTTTCGGCTATAAATATTTTATTTCTTCTGAAAGCCAGCATTCATCCCTCAAACAGAGAGTAATCGTCATATGGCTAATTTCATTTGATCCCACAGCATGCTAGAAAATGGCATCGAATTAGAGAACCAGTTGTTATTGCAGCCGAAGATCAGCATATGCGCAAAAGGCAAATACGTATCCATAACTACGATGGCGTAGATGCTTTATCACGCAAGCATCGTCAGTTATTGTTTCTTCTCCCGAATAATTCACAGGCAGTGTTTTTTGTCGGGGCTTTCAAGAAACTCATATTATCAACAACTTTGTAATTTTCCATTTTGTTTAACCTTGGGATATTCCTCAGTTTTTCATAAACGAGAAGAGACATTGTGTTTTGGTTAATAAAATCAAGACGGCGAGGTTGGACTTTATAGGGAGAGCAAAACACACATATGAGAGGTGGTCTAAACAGCGATAGCCTACTTATTAAAGGAAGAATTGTTTATGATAGTCCGATTTGTATTTGTTACTGTCTAGCTTCCAGAGGTAGTTTTTAGGCAGTGTTCTCGTCTTCTCTCTCGATGTTAACGCATGCCTTGAATTACAGAGCTTGTAATTTTTGAATTATGAAGCAGTGAATATTCTCATTTGCTTTGAGTTGATCCCTGGCAGATGCAATAGCGATGTAGACATAGGCACCTGTTTGTTGCTTTCACCTTGCTTCGTAATTGACTGATAAACAATTGTAGTGTGCAGGTCATTGCTTATAATTTGCATTAACCACGCTGCATGTTTTTTGCAACCATCACCAACCTGAGTTGATATTACAAACGTGAATAAACTATTTCTTGTTACTTTGCAGTTAAAACGGCAGGCAGAGGCAATCGAGGCTCTTGAGTCGAACTTAGAAAAACCAAAGATGACAAATATCGACAATGTCAAGAAACCAACCAAGCAAAAGATAAATGTGAGTTCATATATAATTTACTGATCCCCTATCTAAATTTTTATCCATATATCTATATGATAATACACTCATGTTGCTTCTAAGAGTTTTAGAACTAAAATTTAGATTTTTTAAGGCTTTTAAGAATTCTTGTTGTTTAAACAGAAAACAGTGCTGAATGGTCCGTTAAAAATCAACAGGTATTAATGACGAAATCTGAATGATAAATATGTTACTTTATTTGTAGGATGGCTTTACATCACCGGTTTTACCCAACAATCGAGTCTTACCAAACGGTCCAGAGAAAGGAATGTTTGTTAAGAAGAAAAAAATCAAACCGAAGCTTAAAAAGGAGGTAAGAACAATTTATCCTTTGTAGAATAAACTGTCGATAGCCATGAATTATACCGGAACAAATGTCTACCCTGTCAGATGCATTTTTAACACTGCATATTAATGATAGGTTTTTGCCAATGATATGTTCTTTTTGTGTGTAGCACCAAAAATATACCCTATGATAAGATTAAAACATCAAAATTGCGCATTACCACGACATGCAGCTCGGTTTTTCTCTCAAACGAGCTGCTAGAGATTTATTGTTTTCTCGTTATTTGAGGTATCATTGCTTGCTCTTTCAAGAAAACGCATCTAAGACCGTTGATTATCTCGACTGATCATTTCTCAATCAGTAGAATCAACGTTTTTCGCATCAGAAACCATCCTCTCTTGCTTTTATCTGCGTACACCCAGTGATAAACAGAGCTTTGAGATTCAAAGTCTGCATTGTTCAAATGACGTTTAGTTTCTAATCGCCCTGATGATAAGATAATTTGGTGTTTTGAGGTTTTTGTTCCTCGCTGTATGATCTACCAAGACCTATCAGTAGTATTATCAAACAAAGGGGCGCTACTGTAAGATTTTTATGCAATTTTATAGATCGATTCGGTGAGACCTGTGAAACCGAAAGCAAAAATCAGCAGAAGTGATAGCTCATCGTCAAGTAATGAGGAGCCGGTCACAAAGAAACCGAAGCTAAACAACCAGAAGGTGAGGGTTTTAAAACTTTGTGATAATCGGAATAATGGTTTACCCTGTTCATTTTGTAAATCAATGTTATGCTTAAAACGGAGGTAGCGCTCAAGCTTGGATAACCATTGTTTTTTCTTCTACAGAGGAACACTATCACGCCCGTTGTTGTCAGATGGATTTAGAAAGACGTATCATTTTATACATTATCTAGACTGGGCTTCCTCATTTTTGTTATAGCCCATACCCAAAAGCAGCAATAGAAAGACTAAAAAAGAAGCCAGTTACATTCAAGGAAAACCATACCTCATGAATACTTATTTTCTTTTTAGAAATCAAAAACTGTGGACTCTCCCAAAAAGGAGGAAGATGACCCACCGATTTCAGAGGAACTTCGACGTAAAATCGAGATGGATGACCCGGGTATTGATCTAAGCGTGTTCAAGCCATTGGGCAAACGAAAATGTGTGTTGGAGCTAGAGGAGCGTAAGGGGAAGACCTGGTACGAGGCTGATGACGATGCAAGCGAGGAAGAACTCCAAGAGGATCAATGTAAGTGAATTTATTCAAATACAATTGCTACTTTGTTAAATTCACGTGACAGAATTACAGACAACTTTTCTATGGCTGTTATTTGTAAAGTATTTATGTTCGAGCAGTTTTTTGAAGAATTCTTTCTTGGTTGCTAATTTTGCTGTGATTAAAAGTCAAATATGTGAAATTTTTAAATTGATGGTTTATCTACAACTACAGAATAGTGTCATTTGATTGAGTATTGTGGTTTTAGAGCCTTCTTGCTTCAATCAAAGTTGTCTTTCCAATTCTTGATATTTCACTTTAAATTTTCTCATTTTTTTCAATTTTGTTTCAAATTTAGAATCGTCTTTCATCACCACTTTCTAACTATTTTATTAATAGATTAATTATTTGCAGAATTAATTTTGTATCAAAATTTTTACTTAACACTTGTCAATGTTGGGCAATGAATTTTTCGTACCTCCAATTTTTTCACGCGTTTTCATGTCCTAGGTCAGTTATTGCTATAAGGTTGATTGAAGTTTTTTGTTTCAGATGCAAAGCCAGTGGAATCAGGTTCTAAGAAGAAGAAACGCAAAAAACCCGAAGCACCCCCAGTCATACCAGCTGAACCCCCGGTTGTAAACCCTGTACCTTTACCTCCATACAAGTCATACGTGTTTTCAACGGCGTTGGCAAATCGCGGAGCATACGAGGTATTAATTAAAGGCAAATACAACACAATTCTTGAATACCACCAGGCACAAAAATGGCCTAAACCATACTTACAGCATCGTATACACTGCGAGCCGTTTGTACCGGAAGAACTGAAGACCGAGTCAATTTTTAATAGCCCGGATAGCGGACCAGGTCATAGTTTGAGTGAGGATGAAGAGAAAATGCTTAAAAAGGTTCCTAAAAAGAAACCACGAAAGAAAGTGCAAAGAAAAATATCAGATGCTTCAATTTCTGCATCAACGTCTTCACCAGGGTCAGTAGCAACTAGGGAGTCTCTTGAACTGCGATCTGAAAAAGAGATTTATTCATCAGGGCGGGATACCGGAAATTCTGATCATGAAAGCTCTGGATCTGAGCGTGATCATGACCCTTGGGCAAAGGACGTTTTTTCATCCAAGCGTGATAAGTCTCGTGTTGATCGAAGTCATATCTTTAAGGACGATTTAAAACGCGAGCATACTATGAAAGAGTGGAACAAGATGCCGAAATTCGGAATGGAGACTCAGGATTATGACGAGTATCATAAATATTTGTACAATAACAATCGAAAAACAGGTCATGAGCCGAAGACTTTTTCACCATCAAAGAAAGCGAATTATTCTGCGCCTAAAAAGCTTCAGAACTCTAAAATTCCAACCAAGGGGCAGAAAAAACAGAATTTCTCCAATCCTCGTCCCAGTCCTCTTAATCAGCCAACTAAAGTTCAACTTATCCCGGATCAGTTGAGCGAAGATGATGATGATGAAGAGGATGAAGAAGAAAGTGAAACATCTGAGAACGAAGAATTGAATGGAGATTGTGACAAGGAAGAGAAGGAGGACCAGTTTGTGCCAAGGACTCCCCCCGAGGCGGAAATTGAAGATGCTAAATCTCCAACAGAACAGTTGATGGAAAGGCATATTTCCCCGGCAGTAAGTAAATTGCAGGCAGCAGATACACAGAACAAAGATACGGAGAATGGGGTTCAGAAGGACCCATCGCGAAGCACATCTCCACCAAGTAGGCTAACACAACAAGCAGCAAGCGTTATTTCGAACAATAAGAGTACACCAGTGCCATCACACATTTCAACACCATCCGATGCCTTGTCAGGTAGCCCTAGAAATTCACCTCAACTTTCTCCATTCGCTTCTTATCGCGGAAGACCAGCTACGTATCCTGCAGAAATAGTAAATCTAAAATCCGCAACAGTCTCTAGTCCACGCAGATCAATGGAGAAGGACAGATACTCTGATATGGAGTCAGCCAGAGTCCCTGAGAACAATATGAGATCGCCTGACGATGTTATTGAAATCCCACACAACGAGGGCTCGAATTCAAGCATGCATCGCCCACCAGTTGTGCCATTAGGTAGCAGAGCATCTCCACCACAACAGGCCCACCCATCCATGCCTGTCCCTGATTCAAAGCGACCGAAACCAAATCATCTTCCTCAGATGTCACCTCACCCTAACGAGGTGTCTTCAGTGATTCAGAGGCCAAACCCTTCTCCATCGTCGTCAGTGGATAATCTGTGTTCACCTGCTATCCCAATGCACCAGATGCAGTCACCTTCAATTCCACTGAAACCTCCTTCAAGCTCGCCCATTGTGATTCACGATACAGTAAATGGAAACATGCGGTCTGTCTCTCCTACATCACCTGCGTCTGTAAGCACAGCACCAATTCATTTTTCATCAGGTGTGCACTCGGTGATTTCACCAGTCATCACGAATCATATTCATAAATCTCCTCCTGTTTCAAGAAGTTCACCAGGTATGCAGGGAGGTTCTAATGCAGGCCTAAGTTGTGCTGTGCAACGTGCAATCTCTCCTTCACAAACCAACAATGCCCTTCAGAGGATGCAGGCTATACATGCTAGCCAGGCCGAACACGCAAGCATTCAAGCAGCTCTTTACCAACGCCACAGAATTTCACAACTTCCAGCAAGCCTCAAAACAGGTGTACGTGGCACACCATCGATTTTAGATGATGCAAAAAGAATACCAGCTATGGTTTACAATCAGCAACAAAGAACTTACCAACCAATGCCACACTCTTTGCCCAAAGAGCTTAGTCATCGTGCTTTCTCTCAGACTGCACAGGAGGCTGGGCATACATTCCATGGTATATCTCCTCACAGCAGCCAGGAAACACCACGCAGCGTTCATGCACCTCCTCATGGTGTACCAGATGCCCTCAAATCCCATTTAACAATGGCTCGTAGCACTCCTGGGGATTCCTCGCGTACACTTCTTAGCCTAGCTCATAACAATGAAGAACAGGCACGGACCTATCTTGGAGTATCTCATGGTGTACCGGAGGCAGCCAGATCTCACCATGGTCTGCCTCGGGGGGCCCAAAGCTCTCCTCGATCACACATCAGCATGCCAAATCATTCTCAAGATGCCTCACGAACAATTTTAGGCCTAACACAAAGTGCTCAAGAAGTCGCTAGAAACGTTCTGGGAAGCTCGCATGTACCTCAAGAGTCCTCATCTAGAGTGCACCACTCTGCTCCACACACTGGGCAGGAATCCTCACGATCACATCACGGCTTGCCTATAAACGCACAAGAGATATCTCGCTCTCACCATCCATTTGCGCACCCAATGCATGACCAGTCACGTTACCCCCCTGGCATGGCACACCCGTTTCATCATGGTTTGAACAGAACTTTGCATGAGTCACCACACACGCGTAGTTTACATGAAGTCACGCACCCTGTCAGACCGGGGGTACATGGACATTCGTTTCAACAAGGTTTTAGGAGTCTGAACGAAAGCCCAGTGGGCAAACGACCGCCGACTCTTTCGCTTTTTCAGCATGCTCACGGAAGGGAATTCCCTTCACCTTCGACAGATTCAAAAGCTTACCCATCTCCACTCATGGAGAGGGCATTGACAGAACAACAATCTCGGATCTTAGAACACCAGCAACAGGTTAGATTGATGGAGCAACAACAGTCGAAAAAGTCGTTTTCAGTTGAAAGCCTAACTTCTTCTTCGGATGCAAGTGAACGCTCAAAAGGCCAATGTTTAAATGGTCAGCCAAATACCGCATCTGCCTTAAGCAGAGCTGGTTACAGTGCATCTCAAAGAAGTCATATGTTTGGACATATTCCAGGATACCCACGTGGGCCTTCGTCAGACTTCTTGAAGCTGCCTGCCCACGTGCAGCAGATGTACTCGGCTAGGGGTCTTAGTCCGTACATGAATTTCCCACATTTCAAAGGTTAAACGAATTTGGCATTTAGGTTTGACAACATTTAAGCAGCGGTTCTTTCGCAGTAGAATTTGCTCTACGATTAACTGGACATTTTATTTTATGTAAAGTTGGCTAGAGGGTTTGATTTTCATTTTGCAGGTAGAGAGCGCCATGCAGCCAATGCTAATCGTAACTTGTTTACACCCCCTCCCCACCACCCCCTAGCAACAGACAGCTACCCACCCAAGTAAGTTTAACTCTTATGCTAAAAAACGTGCTGTTTCAGAGTTAAAGAATTTTAGGCCTAACTCATCTGAAATCTTTCTGTGCGCAAATTGGAACCAGTTCACTTGGGTCCTTTCTGATTTGTTTATTGCTATTCGAGGGTATGTTTTAGAGACAAAACATAACATAAATTAATCTTGAAATGCGAAATAAAATCAACCTTGCCTCCGATGTAATCTACCCATGAACAGAAGCCTACACAAACTCTTCCACAAACCCTATCAGTCCAGACTATTTTATTTTTTCTTCTGTCCGTTGTTTTGCCGTATAGCTGGCTGGATGGTGCAGTAGAGCTTGTCTAAACGATTGTAGTCGAGATGGCATAACCAGCTTTTCGTTGCCCGTAAATTCCGCTTTGCTTTTAATACTACCTGAAAAATCAGCGCTGGGTGTGGTAAATTACCCCCCTTTTGACCGTTACCCCTGTGTTGCGGTGAAATCAGCGTCACCATTATTAGGATGTCTAAAGCTGTTATTTTTGTGCAGGTTTTACCTCGAAATTCACGGAACCCTGATATCCATCACTCACATCTACTTTAAGTAAAAGATGTGTCTCAAGTTCAAATTTCTTATTTTACACTATCAAAAATATTCTGTCAATGAATCATCTTTAAAATATGCTTGTTGCTAACCCCCCTCCTCCTTCCACCCCCTCCTCTCTCTCCCCCATACCCCCTGTACGAACAGGACTTTGTAATTACAACCTACCGTAATACGTAATTCGTACCAACAACATTTACTTAAATAATTTCCTTAACAGTTTCCTCAAAACGTTGTCTAATTGTTTTCTCAGAATCTTTTTGGTGAATGGTGGTCGTTTGTGTCGATAGAAAAAGAACCCCACCCTTTGTATGTGATATTGCCACCAATTTGTGTTTACATTTCGTTGAAGGGGGCTGGTTTCTTAAATTCAAACCTTACCTAAATTCGAACCTTATCGCTTGCTTTATCTAAGTATCAAATGTTGTTTTGGTCGACTCCATCTAGGTTGCTCTCGAAACCCAAGCTTCGCCTTTTAATGTTGTGCAAAGTTGTATAATGAACATAACAATGTGTGAATAGAATGCTAATTGGTTTTAAACCAATCGCAAACGATTTGATTGGATAGTACAGGAACAAAAAGACTTGCGTTAGATAATTTTCTTTTGTAATTCAAACATTATGTGGGATATACTATTGTTCCTTGTAAATATCAGTTTTATGAGACAGTTGCGAGTAATTATACTTTATCTGTTTTTCTGATTCCTTTTCTTACATTAGCATGTTATTATTAGCAAAGATAAACGTTCGTACATGATACTCATGATTTATAAACATTTCAAGGGCTGATCTTCTGTGATTAGAGACTTTGAGGCTATAATCATAAAAAAGGCCGAGAGGATAGAAATCACCCTATTAGAAACGGTGACATATTTTGGTTGATATTATTTGCTCCCCTGTAGAGACACTGGTTTTGACAACCCACTTTCGCTCAACCAGAAAATAGTGTCCATGATTTTCATGATGGTAGATTCGTGTAACATAATAAAAAATAAAAACTCCTTATTTTGGAATGGAAATTGATGGTATCAAGGGCATAGCATATCGCGCATCGTGAAACCCCATTTGGTTGAAATCATAGAGATGGTCGCAATATTGTTTCAGTGGAATCGAGGCTGAAATTTCCCACTCGAGGCTATCTGAATATGTTACCAAAAAATTTTCCTAGCAGATTGGTTATCGCTGTTCTTTGAAACATAACGACATGAACACAAATTGGCCCAGGGAGTGGCCTTGAAGCACCAATTTGGATACTTTGAGGGTTTCATCTGCCATTTCCGACTTACAGTTGGAGCTAATAGACCCCAATATCATAATCTAACTAGAGATTTGTTTCCTTTTGGGCATGATAAACCTGAACAGCGTCCATTGCCTCAATAAACAATTCAGCCACCCGTTGCGGTTTGCAGTTATGAATATATGTATTGGGACCTGTAAACTATTCACTTGTTCCTCTATTTGCGCATTATGAAAATAGCTAACCATTAATAACCTGTTCACCTTAAAAAAACCACAGACAAGTGAATCGTTAATGAAGAACACTAAGGGGTAAAAATGAGATAAAACCTGCTGAAGCTTTTGCTAATGAAGGATTCACCACAAGCGATTGCTGCAGAAGTTGTTAATGAAGGAATATATGGCCTAAGAAGAAACTTCAACCGTAGTCGCAAATCACTACAAATCAATATGCACTCGTGATAGTACCGTGCAGTGTGATTTAGGCCTTATAATGTGGATTTGTTCGTGGAAAGGTCTCTACGCAACAGCTGCCATTGGTGTCTGTTTTAGTCTTCTGTTACTTGCTTTTAGAGAAAGCGTGATACATTTTTACGAAAGCACAGCAAGAATCATTGAAACAGTTGCAAATTTTGAAATAGCAGGATTTTTCCTTCCTTGGAAATCAATTATTTTCGGTCTACTGGTGGGTTGTTTGTTCCTGTACTGGAAGGTAGGTCAAACTACTTTTATTTCAATTTTTTTTGGCATTTTAAGTCCATGCGTATATCTTTCTTTGCAAATCTAGTCCTGTTCATTCCATTTCTGCGTTTATGTATTTGAAAATATTGGTGTCAATACCACCTCCGGAAGGGGGGGGGGGCGGTTCACTTCACTGCCTTTGTATACCGGGGTCTACTGCGTGATAACAAATAACGATACATTATGAAGGAAAATGTAATGATTGAAACTCTTTGTTCGTTAGTTTGAATGATATCTCATGTCTTTTTCGTCAGATAGATAATTATTGATGTCACGTTTTTTAATTACTTATCTTGATGGACCAACTCAAGCCAATTTATCGCTGCTAGATAATACAGTTTCCTCTGCCTTATACACTGCAACATATGGATTAGATATAGGATTAAGGCCATAAAAACCTGGGTACTTTGAAACACAAATTTATAGCCATCGATAGATAAATTTCTTAATATTCTATGATTTACTTCTGAAATGGTTCAATCAAGCAAAATTATTTCTGAAAACGGATTTCTTATCTTGCCTTTTTCTCCCAGCTATGTTTTCCAATCGATAATATTTTGTCTCTATTATTTGTTATCATTATTTTTAGATCTTCAGACGAACCAAAAAAGACGATAAAACATTGGATACAGAGGTGGATAGAAACAAACCAGTTCTTGTGAGCGGAAAAACTTTACTTGAAATTCATACAGGTAATTTACTTTCCTTGTATATCAAAAATCCATTTAAATATTTTGTTCGTTAAAAATTGTTGATACTTAGGAGATTTTCCCGATTGGTTAGAGCCTTCTTCCAATAAACTTAATTAAATAAATTTTGGCTTTTTGGAATTTCCTAGTAGCATTTGAGGTGCCATCTACTGCAGTGTGGAAAGGTAATGGGCGTGGTCAGTTACACCGCACCCATTTTGCCTCGTTTTAGTGCGTTGTTCCAGGTTGATTTTCCTTTAGAAATATGATCTACCCATACCCAGCGCTTTTTTATCAATTTCTAGAAGAAACATGTAGGCCATGTTTGGACAAAAGTGGGGGGGGGTAGATCATCCCCCACACCCTCTCCCTTGGCGCTGCCACTGACCAACGCAATCTATTATACCATTATTCCTTCCAGAAAGAATTCGTGCCTGTTTTGTCATGCACATTATTTTCAATTCATATTCGTCATTATGTTACTTTTTACTTCCTTCCCTTATTTTAAACGCTTTGAAACAAAATTGAACTCTTGTCAAATCTTATCTTTGATGTTTAGTCATATCTATGAAAAACTCTGGGAACTTTCATTGCGGTTTTTCATTCGTCAAAAAATTATCTTATTCTATGCCATGAATCTACAGTGCTATCTTTACCATTGTAAAGTAGGTATTGTAACTTGCATTACCCTTGTACTTATCTTTGCCATTTATTCATTTTAAAATAGGATTTTGTTATTAAAGTTTGCTCAAAAGAATGCAATTTCCGGTGAACTTGAAGCATTAAAATTATACAAAATTTGTCCTTTCGGCGGCAACCTAATCTAGAGGTAATAGGGCTGCGGGGTGCCAGGAACGTTCACAGTATGTATGAGAGAAATAGAGACAAGATAAAAAGTGTATTTTAAATATCTTTGCAGCAAAGGCAAAAGTTGAGTTTTTCCACCCCCCCCCCTTCCACTAACAAGAAATGCTTCTCTTTGATTAAAACATATCAAAGAAATTTTGGCGGAAAATTTTTCTTTCTGGCCCCCTCAAGAGTTCATTTGCCACGACGCCCCTGATGGTACTTAAGCTTTTCGTGACACTCTCCAGAGTACACAACGTCAGAACATTTCAAAGCCATTTCAAATACTGTACCACAAAAAGATTATTCTTGTCAATAGTATGCGCCTGTCACAAAGAATACCTGAAAATTGGCTCATGCAACGAATTTCAACCTTCTTTGTTAACATTTTTGTATCCTATTTCTTCATATACCTTTGAGTCGAGTTTTGAATAATACCACATCTGAAATTTGCATAAATCCATGCAGGGACTTCAAAGAAAACTTACATTTCGCCATTTATATGACGTTATCGAACCTGAATGATAGATTCCACACAAATTTGGATCCACCCCCCGTTTCTCGCCCACCATAAGTTCCTCATCCAGCCGAATATCATTCGGTTTACTTAACAAGCTAAAAAATATCACAGGTATTAATATTGCTGAAAAAGATTAGCCTGAACCAAAAATAGAAAATCCGATTACTCGCAGCGAATGACAATGTCCAATTTCTATGGCACAATTTTCATGCAACGCTTGAATTAAAAGAATTGAAGCAGATATCATAGAGTTTCTTTGAAATATCCTTCAAAGCTATCGTTACTATGTGGTATTTGCTCTTTGAATGCTCTTTAGATATTTTAAACCTTCCAGCCAACCAAAATATTAAAGAATTGACCAGACGATTGGACAGTGCTGAGAAAACGACACATTTGGTTATGCGGCAACTGGAAGCCATGACTAAATGTTTAGCTGAGGTCTTGAAAGAGGATAAGCTAAAACTTGACAATAACAACGAAATATTCAAGAATTCATTGGAAACTGAGTTGTGATGATTAGAGTTGATACAGCGGTTTGTTTAAAGATAGTTCACACTGATGGTTGCGCACCGATTCATGAAGATAATTAGAAATCTGGTAGATGCACAATTGTCTGAATGCACAGTCGTCTGATAGTGGTTTTTGCTTAATTTAAGAAATGTATGTTCCTTCTTCGTAGGAAACTTTCTCTCTTTTTAAAGGTTTAGTTGAAAATTGACGTTTTATGACTGCATGACACAAAATATGTGAATAAAGCAATATGTAGCAATTTTCAAGGTGAATTTACGAGTCGACATCATGACAATACACAAATTGACGTTTTATGAGAAAACTACATCGACGTCTGACATTTTGGGACAAAGCAATATCTAGCAAATTTTAAAGGTGAATTTTCCAATGGACATCATGACAACTAACCATGAGAACAAGACATCAACAGTTGAACAACTGACATTTTGGGACAAAGCAATATCTAGCAAATTTCAAAGGTGAATTTACAAATCGACATCATGACAACTAACCAATAGCCGTTTTATGAGAACATGACATCGACGTTTGACATTTTGGAACAAAGCAGTATCTAGCAAATTTCAAAGGTGAATTTACAAATTGCCAACATGACAACTAACCAATAGACGTTTCATGAGAACATGACATCAACAATTGACATTTTGGGACAAAGCAATATCTAGCAAATTTCAAAGGTGAATTTACAAATTGCCAACATGACAACTAACCAATAGCCGTTTCATGAGAACATGACATCGACGTTTGACATTTTGGGACAAAGCAATATCTAGCAAATTTCAAAGGTGAATTTACAAATTGCCAACATGACAACTAACCAATAGCCGTTTCATGAGAACATGACATCGACGTTTGACATTTTGGGACAAAGCAATATCTAGCAAATTTCAAAGGTGAATTTACAAATTGCCAACATGACAACTAACCAATAGACGTTTCATGAGAACATGACATCAACAATTGACATTTGGGGACAAAGCAATATCTAGCAAATTTCAAAGGTGAATTTACAAATTGCCAACATGACAACTAACCAATAGCCGTTTCATGAGAACATGACATCGACGTTTGACATTTTGGGACAAAGCAATATCTAGCAAATTTCAAAGGTGAGTTTACAAATCGACATCATGACAACTAACCAAGAGACGTTTCATGAGAACATGACATCAACAATTGACATTTGGGAACAAAGCAATATCTAGCAAATTTTAGAGGTGAATTTACAAATCAACATCATGACGACTAACCAATAGACGTTTCATGAGAACATGACATCAACAATTGACATTTGGGGACAAAGCAATATCTAGCAAATTTCAAAGGTGAATTTTCAAATCGCCAACATGACGACTAACCATTATGAGAACATGACATCGACGTTTGACATTTTGGGACAAGTCCATTTCATTTCATTTCCTGTCACGATGCATTCCTCAATTGGTGCAAACCAAAGTAACAAAATTCATTCTCTGATGGATGATTACTATTTCTTGTGTTATCTATCATGTATGTTGTTCTGTTTTCCTATACTAGATCGATATTTGATATTAGCAAGCCTGTATCAAATACATTTTTTAAAACATTAACAAAATCTTGCAGCGAAACAATGCGGATATCGTACCACAAATTTGGTTCATTCAGTGGAACTTACCGTTTTATACAACTAAACATCTGGTCCCTTCAGCTTATCCTTACACTTAGCTTAAGATGAACGAATTATCGATTTAACGATGTAATTTTCATCTAAGAATTATGTTAAGAGAAAATACGAACCATCTCTTAACAGAATATCGTAACCAAAACATCACTGAATAATAAAACACTTGTATAACTACGTTTTAATCCACAATATATATCTTAAGTCTGACATAATAAAAAAGTCACTGGACACAAATTACTTTGATTGGGCCCATCAAAGTCCCTTATATCAAGATTAAACTGAATTATTAGGGCACTTCATTTTTGGAAGGGAAATTTTAGAGAATTAATGTAGTATACCATGTTGGTATGTATTTTAGTAAAATAGTTTGATTGCGTAAATGCACCGTGCAGTTGTTGTACCTTTGATTTGCGTTATCGTAGTAGATGTTAAAATTCACATATGATAAATACGTTTTGAGCCTGTGATTCCATTCCATTAAAAACTTTTTGTGAGCTTTTTCTCTTTTTCTTCTTCTTTTTAGATCGTTGTTTGTACCGCTTTCTTAGAAATTTGTGCATTTGAACTTCTGTCATTTACATTTAGGAAATGAAGAAGGTTATAAGTTATAATTTTCTTTGCTTTCTTGCTTTTTGCTTGCCTCGTGTTATGTGAATGAATCTTGTTGATGATTGGATTTTAAAGTTCAGTGGGCCTTACCTCCCTGACAAATTTTTTGTAGCCATACTTTCTTTATATTCAATAACATAATGCCAAGATCTTTTGATTCAACAATGTACGTTCCATCTTCAAATATTACTTAGATAGGTGCAGAAAATTATGAGCTAACTTTGAAAATCATGAGCTTTTGACTGAAACTTTCAATTCATTACCTACTGAATCAGATACGATATTCTTGAAAGAATTAACCCTTCTAACTCTTTCAAAAACATCATATCCAACCCAATCATTTAGATTGATGAATACGTAAGTAAAACGAGCAAAAAGCAGAGCGAAGTTAAAAGACGAGTCACAATATAAATACATTCAATACAATCTCCACGGAACCTAAAGAATACTTTCTACACTAGCAATCATCAAGGATTTAGGTTTGGTATTTTAAGTTTCAAGCTATCCATCCAATTGCCTTGATCGATAGCAAAGTGTCCATGATGATTTTCAATCAACCATTTTTTTGTAGGCGCACCACGAGTCCCCTTTGTGACCATGTACTTATTAACGGGATCATTGTATTTCTCTAATTGTTTGAAGTCAATTTGCGAAGAAACCGATGAAGATTTAGACTGGACTTCCATTTCCATCTCTACAGATGGTCCAATTTTTAGATTCACATCACCTAAAATTAAAAGAGTTGAGACATTAAGCTGTGCTGGATTTCAGGTGAGGTGGAAGGAATAAACGAAAGCCCACGAAAAAGCTATGGAAAGATTGAAAAGGAGGGTACAAAAAAAGAAGAGGTTAAAAGGAGGCTCTTTTAAAAGGTTTATTGCTAGAAAAGGTTATTTATAGGAAAAGTTTGTTGCACAAGAAGTTTTTATGACAAATCGACCGACATTAGCAATTAGCAGCTGTACTTCGGTCTTAAGTCCCATTAAAACAACAGAAAGAGCAATTAACTATGCTTTTAATTAAGGAATAAATATATTTGAAAAAGCTATCTGAAATGCAAACAATGCAAACACTTTACATTAATATATTACAAATTATTTCCTGAAGTGAAGAGATCTCTTTGCCATTACTAAATCGAGCTCATAATAAACTTAGCAGAAGAACAATTTATTATCGTAATAAGCGATAAACGATAGCTTTGTGGAGATATTTTTTGATCAGTGTCTAATGTTGGCAAGTAGTCAAGTATCAGTTCAGCTTTTTTTATCATCATAAAAGTTACAATGATTTTTTTCATAAAAAAACGTCACTAAAGTAGTCAAAAATCAACACCAAATTATTAAAAGAGTTATGAAGTCTGATGTAAAAAAAAATATGATGTAATTTTCGAAATTTGGACACTTAACCACTTAACCTGAAAGAACACATTCAAATTCCTCTAGAAGTACAAAACCAGCTTAAATATGTAGAAAATTGGTTGAGATAAAGAGAATAAAGGACTGAGCTTTACAAATGGACTTTTGTTGTCTTGGCCTGGTTCATATATTAAGAAAAAGGCCAAATTACAACGATGTGACCGGAAAAGGGCCTGTGCATATGTGATCATATATCTTTGGTCTTTATGTAGCCAAACAATAACACATTGAGCTGATTTTGCATGATAAAAGGCGTTTCAATTAAAAACTATGAAACAAGATGTTTTTGATGTTATTACTCTATTAAGTTGAGACAACCACACAGGAACAAATTTGCTTCGATATGAAATGAGTAGAAATTACCTCCTTCGCCGTGATAGATATACATGTCCTTGGTTTTTTCTACCACAAAATCCATTGTCCCTTTCTTGAAAATTCTTCCAACCAGGTTTTCACATGATACAGAGTCGATTTTCAGGTTACCATTTTCAGTTTCCACGTGACATCCAGCTAAAAACAAGGCCAAACAACTTCAACTGACAATGAATGACAACGAAAACGTCCTGACAATCAAATTTCCTTGAATTATGCACGTCTTCTGACAAATTCTTTAGAATATTTTTCAGAAGACAAGTATAGATAGAATTTAGATACCTTAAATCCTCGAAGGAGCGTCATCTTTCGATGAGCGTCCTACCATTATACAACAGTTGACATAGCCTTTTCCAAGAGAAGTTAGCTGTAGGGGCAAACCTTTGTTTATATAAAGGACAATAGCCTATTGTTTAAAACAATGGGAAGTAGCTGGGGCTGCAGAGGCAATTGCCCCCCTGGTTAGTATGTTAAAAAAGGCCCCGACGGTCGATGTAACGAGCATCCCCAAGTAGAATGAGCCTCTCTACCTTCAAATTCGATTCCGTTTCTGTTAAAGAAGCGATCGATACTGAATTCATTGGCTCTTGATAAAATTGCAGAGCTACAAACTCATAACTCCCCCGATGTAGATTAAAAGCACAATACGCATGCGCATAAATAAACCCAAAAGAGTATCAAACATTGAATCCTCACGGTACAGGTAGTACAAGGTATATTATACTTTACGTGTCCGCTTCGGCGGCACATATACTAAAATTGGAACGATACAGAGAAGATTAGCATGGCCCCTGGCGCAAGGATGACACGCAAATTCGTGAAGCGTTCCAACTTTTTAATTTCAACTTAGACGTCCCATACTCGAAACTTGACCATCCCCCTTTCGCACACATCTAGTTTTAAAACAAGATTTTTTCGATAGAAATTTAAAGTGGGTACACATATAGTCAAAAAAGTTGCAATCTATTATTAGCTGCAAAAAGGCACTTAACCTCACAGCGTTTCTGAAAAAAGGGGCATTGTCACCCCAGTTTCCTTGCACAATTCAATGCACAACAGCAAAATACAATTTCAGCACTCACTTGATTGCACAAGGCCAGTTATCACATCTCCTTGCTCATTTGTGTAAACAACATCGTCACAATAAACCGTTTCTGTTTTAATATCTCCATTCATCGAATTCAAGGCGAAATTTATTCCTTGCAGCTTTTTCATGTAGATACCCCCATCTAACATTGTCCAGAAATGCCCACTTCCGTGGATCGAATCTCTGCAGACAATATCACCACCAGAGAAACATTCAGCATAGACTGTTTTAATTTTGCTCAGCTCAATATTTCCTAAGTCAGCATATCCTATCAAAGTACCATTATAGACTAATTATTGTTTATTAAGAAAAGTTTTAATCATAGAGAGAAGAAATTAATTACAAGGATATAGAAGGCAAAGAAATTTTCTCTTTTGTCAATACAATTGATGTATGCTACATACCGTAAATACACTATTAAGCCCCCGGGAGGCTTATTTATTTTTTCAGTCCTAAAAGGGGGGCTTAAAAGAAAGGGAGACTTATTAGAGAGGGGAATTTTTAAAAATTTGAAGTAAAAAATGTTTTTAGAATGCATTTGTCTGTTATTTGTTATAAAAATGTCTTACCAATTATGTCAGAAAACTTCACTAGCAGCTGCGAAAGTTTAATTAATCATTTATAAGGTCCTCATTTTCATCAGAATCACCAGGATCAATTGGTAACCCTAGGATATCTTCTAAACAAATTTCAATCGACTTCTTTGGCGCAAATTTAAGTCTTTACATGGGCTGTATTTAATGCACACGATCTTACTATTATCACACCTGTCAAGAGACCCACTAAATGTGCATGCTTTTCTCGTTTGACAACAAAAGCTAAAGGGGGGGGGGCTTAATAGAAAGTGGGGGCTTATTTTAAGTTTTTGCTTGATAAGGAGGGAGGAAATAGACAGGGGGGCTTAAGAGAGAGAGAGAGGGGGGGCTTAAGAGAGAGAGGGGGGGCTTAAAAGAGAGAGGGGGGGCTTAAAAGAGCTTTTACGGTATATATCTTGTCATTTCATTCCAAATATCTTTACTGTAAATTTGAAGATACATTTGCAATTTTTATGGAAATAAAGAATATTGGTTAATTTTTTTAAACAATTTTCAATCAAAAAAATAATGAAACGAGAGGTTGACTTCCACTTGAAACAACACTGGAAAGATATCATTTTTTTCATATTATGTTTATAGTATATAGTTTCAAAAGTAAAAATTTTCAACTTGTTGTTGAACTTGTTAAACATCTAAGAAACCAGGAAATAGTAATTGTAATTCATAACATACCAGATGTGTACTCATTTTCAAAATCTTTCATGTAGATGTTTGCTTCCCCTTTAACTTGGGCAACTATCTGATACTCATAAGGTACTTCAACCACCAGTGCTGTGCAATTCTTCAGCTCCTCTTTGTACTTTTTAAGATACGGAAAATCAACCTGAAACCAAAAATCATATGTCAAATAAACAAGAAAAATGAATATCAGACTTATGAATGCATGAAATGTAGCCATGTTGAACAACAATATTATTGGATCAATTGCTTCTTGCAGACAGGGAAGTTGTACTTTATTATCATTGACAAAATGGGTTGTTAAAACATTGAGATAATGACAACCATCATGGAGTGGCATTTGAAGATCATTGGAGGGCTATTAATGAATATTTATGAAATTATGAAAGAATTATGAAAGATCTATGGAATATCTATAAAAGAACAAGGGCTCCAATACAAGTTGGAAGGTAGGGAAGGGGGCAAAAACAAAGTACAGACCCAAAAAAAGATTTTGAAAAAAGCTCTGTTGTTTTGCAGAAAAGTGCCCCCCCCCCCCTCTGTCATTGGAGGCCTTTAAAAACAGTCTGATGTTCCTGAATTGAAAAATCATCTGTGGCTGACTGATTCACATTGGCAAAACCTCCACATTTCAATTGACAGGGTAGGATGATTGCTTGTTATGGTGAGTACCACACAGTCTCCTTTCATTTTGTTGTGTTAAATTTTGTATATGGATATTTTCCTTTCAATTTCCTTTATTTTCAAGTGTTTGATTCTCAATGATTTTCATAGCATAGCGTATACAGCAGGGTCTTACACTTTAAAATGTCAGATGACCTTCTTAACATACATTCTTACTCTCTTTACACAGAATTCATGGAACATATTAACAACTGAAACAAATTTCATCACTGCCAAGTCTTCTTTACCCTTAATATTGGTGGATATCCAGTAAATTTGTATCGAATAATGTTTCTGAAGTTATTGACTTTCTCCACAATTTTCCTTAGCTCTTCAATACTTTTACCATGTCCTTCTTTCCCATAGATTGTAATTATAGCGTCTTTTCTGTCAGGCTCGTCTTCGTTGTATTTGCTCTTTAATATCGTGTTGCATCCACTTGTCAAATGAATTAGGCCCCTTACAGGTACTTCCATCTTATGCTGGAAGAGCACCTCAGAACCATGAATTTCATCTCTCCAAGTTGACATTCTTCTAGCACTAAAATTAATTGTCCGGAGTGATGCATGAGTAAATATTTTTGAATATTTCAGAAATAGTATGCATTGGCATGCTTCCTTTACTCCGAAGAAACGCCTTGATAACATTTTTAACGCAAAATTAAATATATATCGCCTAATAATAACTCCAGTTATCACCATTTGAGGCAGATGGAATGGAACCTCATTTGAACCATATTCTACCTCGTTTCCGAATTCGCCTCTTCACCAAAATGGCGTCCTTCGACGAAGAGCTGAGGAAGGTATGATAAGAATTACCTATAGTTTTATCTCAATTCGCCTTTTATACTAATATTGGTTTTGAGCAACTTCACTAACTGTTTATCTTGTGTGTTTCATGTATAATTTTTTAGCCTTTTGAAGGGCAATTTGTCTTAATGTCACGTGGAACTACGCCCCTCCCTAACCCTAACTGTGTTAAAATATGATAAAATGAAATAAAAACTTTTTGGCGTTAGCATTAAGATCTAGAACCTTTGGCACAGCTTCATAATTTACTGGCCTTGAGTTTTCTTTTGAAATTGGCTATACAAGGAGCTCATTCTGATTTTAAATGGGAATTCGTTCCAACAGTCTGTGCAGCTGTTTTTGCAGCCTTTAGAAATCTTGATATCGAGATAGATATCGAGATAGATATCTAGAAATACAGAAATTTAGAAACAAGTTAGATCTTGACACTAATTTCTTGTTGGATATCTAGATTTTTTAAATCTAGTAACAAGTTTCCCACTTACTTTCCCCAATTACAACTCCAACTGCCCTTTCGGCTAGATTCTTAACTATCACATTTGATACAATGCATGTTAGAAACAATGAATCACCCTTTTTGGCAACAACATTTGTTTCTAAGTAGATGCTTTTTTATAAGGAACTTACCTCAAGGACTAATTCCAAAAGTTCCTTATTCATAGATCTCGAATCATCAAACTGTAGTACCAAAAGTTCCTCAACAGTTCCTTAATTTCACTGCATATCAAGTGCCATAAAAATAGTACAGAAACAGGAAAAACATCAAAATTTTGAATTTTGCTTGTGGCTAGAACTCAGGAGCAAAAACACAAAGAAGGCTATGTATAGTGAAAATCTCAATTTCAGTGTTTTGACTACAATAAGCCTTAACACTTAATAGAGAGAGGGGAGAAACAGCATATGGGGAAACTTCTCAAAGAGGCACTTGACACACAAATAGCAAACAATCTATGCGAGTATTGGCTGCAAACGAATGAAACCGGCTTTTTAGTTCTTGATGCTTGCAGTTATAAAAAATGTTCCAATCAAAAAGTTCCTCAGGGATTTTGTTCTAGTAGTATAAGCTCCTTAAATATTTCAGCCCTCTGCATGTAGGTTCCTCATAAAGTGGTTCCTTATAAAAAAAGGGCGTACTACACAGTCATTCGCTGCCTCTAAACAGACAGCTGAGGCAGTAAAGAATTTTTCCTGTGCTAGCCTGACAGAAGGTCCATGGAATAAAGCCTGACAGAAGGTCCAGTCGATTTGAGGGTCTTACCAAATGACTACCAAATGACCAAGTCTCAATAATAGCACAACAGCTTAGTTTAGCTCAAAAAATACTAATATTTGAGGGTTATTCTTTAAAATTTTAGTATTGGCCCTCATTGACCCTGACAAGACCCCCCCCCTGTTAGGCCATAATGGGAGTAACCCCCCTGGGGGTTTTCAAAGAGTTTTTTCTCTGTCTTTTTCTTGTAACCAGAACTTTATTATGGAGTCTATGCCGGATATCTCCAGCAAAATTTACATGAATTACACCCATGGCATGTTAGCACAATGTTAGCACAATGTTAGCACAATAACAGCAACTAGATAATATGATGACTAGATAACAGCAAATTTGCACAGGTTAAGTGATGTTACATTTATTGGCAAGCCTACACAAATAGCAGGTTAGCTCTATTGCGACAATTACATATTGTAACTTTATCCGAGATGTACAGGGGGAGCACAATCTTTCTTAATTTGCAATCAGAGAGGTCAGAGTGATATTTGGGATACCTGTTACATTACGACGCTCCGCTTGCTCGGACATTCCTTCCTCTGCATTCCTGGTCCACAGTGCTGTGCGCTTTTGCAATAATTTTTGCAGTGCAAGTGCACCAACTTAAATTGTTTCATGATCATGTACTGTAATAGATTCTCTCTCAATAAAAACTAACTAGAACCTTGAGGAATCAGGCACTAGACCCTCATAGGAATGAGGCACACTGCTTGTTAAAGTGTATTCCAGAGATTGAATGGCGGCAGTTGCAATCCCCAAAATTTCAAGCTTTCTGTTTGATTCTGTCCTTTTTGTTTGATTTATAGACCCCCCCCCCCAAATCATCAATTTACACTTGCAAACGGTTCACAGGAATACTCCCAAACCTTCATATTGAAATGAGGCAAACTATCGTTTTTGTTCATTCTACTTTGAAAATGGCTTCAGCAAAGAGGCAATAGACAAAGGATTCAGTATGCAGACTTTTATCATTGAATCAAATGTAGGCTTCAAATCATTGAACCTCTCTGAGAGGAAAAGTTGACAAAACAAGATCAATATGAGAGTTACTCACAAATGCACTCATTTCTTCCCCAGTTATTTTGTTTGAATTTCCAAGAACTCATGAACAAACAGTGATGAAGTTCAGACTTGCCTGGACTATTTACTTTTAAAGATTGGAAATGAATGTTTTATGCTTTAGAAATCAGTTAAAAGAAACATTTACTTCTTGTTTCTTTTTTGTTTTGTTTAGAGTCATGCATCCCATCAGTTGCAGCCTGGCAAATATTTCCAGAAATTTAGCTCTATGATCTAGGATACACCATACTACTTTATACCAATATTTTCCAAATTTTACTCAAAACTTTTACTTAAAAGTCATAGTTGCAATTAAAAATCTACCTTTACAATCATTTGACTAGATTGTTGGCATGTTTTTGTTTGATGCAGGCATTCCAAGAATTACAAGCCAAAGTTATAACAACAACAGCTCAAGTAAAAGTAGCTGAAGCGCAGATTATCCAACTGAAAAGAAGTATTCAACATGCCCAGCTAACAGAATATGAAGTGACGCAACTTCCAGAAGAAACCAAGGCTTATGAGTCTGTTGGCAGAATGTGAGTTTAATTGGTTTATAAGATAAAAAGTTTTTAATTGGAAGATATATTTGAATATAGATAAAAGTTTATGAATAAAAGTACTCTAGTAGCTGCCAATGAACTGCCAGTAAACTACCAGTTTCTAATTTTTTTTCTGTTGCCAAAAACAATTTCCAACGACCAGAAATACATTTTATAATGGACACCAATTGATTCCTACTGTGGTATGAAGTTGTCAATTTTCCTGTGTTGTAATATCTGAAAATTGAGTAGCGACTCTGAACTATCCTGTGCTTCATATCAAAGCATAGTTGCTGCATACCGAAACATTCCTTTTCAAAGTTAGAAAAGGCTTGATCTTCTCAATCAAAAGCTACCATCTGATTTGCTGATACCCCATATTTGGTCTTTAAGACTTGGTTGATAACTTTCCAGACAGAGCCAATCAGTATAAATAGTGACAATTCTGAATTATAAGTGCACTCTGGCACTTTTCACATGCAGGACACCTTTCGAATGTTTTCTCAAATCTGGGGTTGCCCTGAGAAGCTCCAGACTGCTACTTCACTACATCGATTCTTGTTATATCAATATTATTTTTTTAGGTTTATTTTGAGATCAACAAAAGAAGTTAAAAGAAACTTGGAAAACCGAGTAAAACATGCTGAAGATAAGATCAAAGGCATAGAGGTAAAGACTTGTTAAATTGCCAACTTAGGAAATTTAGAAGGTCGAAAATGTTTTTTATACTCAAGTGAAAAAGCTATTTGTGATATTTCTCTTTGGGGATGAGGGCTTAGATTAAGGTGTTTTTAGATCTATTTTGAATTTAAGGTTTGTACTACTGGTAGGTTATTTTGATTCTAGAAAATGAAGATAGAATACTGCTTCTTACATTTCAACCAAAGTCATTTTTTTATTTTCATCAGCCATCTTTCACAGTTTAGAAAATGGCTGAACTAGCTATGAAAATGTTCTAGATATGCATTAAACCAATTTCTTTCTAATATGTAAAATACAGAATTGCTTTTATAATGTGGTAATTATTTTTGTTTAAATTTTGAGGTACCAAAAACTTATGTATTTTTTGTTTATTTTGAAATAGGTTTTTGAATCATTAGTCTCTTTAAACTGAGGGAAAATCGAAAATCATTTTTATATTTAAAATTGCTTTTTCTTCTTGAGAATATTTTAACTGTATATTTCTTGAAATGCACAGTGATTGCAGCTTGCAAATTTGCCATAGCTTTGTGAGCCAAATATATTTTTTTGGTCATCAGATGCTTAGATCTACAGCCGCAAGTTATCGGTGACCTATTTCCTTTCTAACAGAATTTGAGCAACAGGTGCCATGCTTTTGTATCAGCCTCACTCCCAACATGAGTTTATGCTAGAAGCATTTTAATCAATCATATTTATATATATGCTGTTTTCAAAGGCAAACAAGGAATACCTACAAAAAAGTGTTAAAGAACAGGAGAACAGCATAAGAGAAATGCTGCAGCAAAGAGTTTGATTGCAAGGATTGTGAGTATGCCTCAACAAAGACAATTGTTGAGGTGTCCTGTATGAAGATGTTGTTTGGATAAACGTTTTGCAGTGAGCAAGAAGACATCTACTTTAGAGATATCTTCAGCTGATGTTCCAACCAACTGTTTACTGATAACAATGACATGAAATTGCAACAGAAGGAGATTTGTGCATTGAGATTTGTCAAGATGAGGGGTTCTGCAGTGCCAGAAAAAACTGTTCTACATAAGTTTATTGATTCAAACATTTCAGTCCATATGTAGGTTTGTTTTAACTTATTTTGTAAAATTTCCCTGCTGCAAAACGACTTTTATATTTTCAGATGGCTACTTCTAAGAATAAAGCATTAAACTGGTAGGGGATGGGGAGAGTGGGAGAGGGGAAAGGGGGAGTAGGGGAGGGGGAGCAGGGGAGGGGGATAGTGGTTGACTGAAAACAAATGTCAACAATTTTTTGTCAATGAGTATTTACTGCACGGTTGCTATTCACCCTATATCTCAACATTTTGCTTGCCAATAGAATTTTTTCACAATCAAGTTGAAAACCATCAAAGCTGCTTGCCATTAGGTTTTTCTCACTTGAAAAGAAGCTCTCTTTTGGAGAATCTGAAAATTAAGATCTTGAGAAGAAATCTTGAGTTTATCACATAACTTGATGATTATGAAATTTGCTTTAATCGCTTTAGTAAGAAGAGGAACCATGCCATTGACTTTTGTGTTTCTAAGCCGCAGATATTTGAATTGAAGTACTAAGTCAGGATTGGCAGAATCGTTAAAAAAGGTGGTAAATTGCACTGCCTTTCTTGAAGGGACGCCGGAGAAGGGGGCGGTGGGCAACCACCCCTCTTATCCTTTCCTTGGAGGAGCATGAGGCACCAAAGTGCCCTTGACATCGGCCTTTGGTAATTATAAAAGAGATTCTTGCGAAGTTTCTTTTTATTTAACGACATTTCTCCCAAAATGATGACATTTCTCACAAAATTTGTACAAAATTTCTTAAACCAGAAGTTAGCCTCTCAAGGTGCCTACAGAAGATCGAAATAAAATGAAAGACAAAAAATTAGTAGAAGCTGGGAATTTTTTTCAAATGCCCTTTTACTGATTAAAGGAAGATCCAATGTTTGCTGACAGTAGAATAATCCATTTCTTAATTGAGTGGAAAAAACAGAATCCTCAAAGAAGGCATTTATATTGAAAGAAACTTGTTAGGTTTAATCAAAACGTCTAACTCATATGTAAATTAGCGTCCATTCTACATTTTAATATCTTCTTCTGGTAGGTCCACTTCATTTTCGTCATTTTCCTCATCTCCTAACTGAAGTCTTCTTGGAACATGAAGTCTTTCCTGCCTTCGACAACGATTGCGTGGAATGTAGTTATAAACATCAGGATTGCAGGTCGTAGAATGTTCACAACACCTGTAATGAATTGATAACAATAAAAGACTTATTTTGGTGCTTCACTTCTATAGACCTACAGAACTTCTATTAATCTACCGAACTGTTTCACTTCTTACAGTTTTCATGGCCCATCAACAATCAGTCTTAATGATAAATAGGTGGGGCACATGAACGATTCCTTTTCAACGAAACTTCGAAAAATTAACTCGTATTTGTAAATGGTCAGTTTGATGCCTCCAATTGCATTTATTTTCCTCTTAATTTCTGGTTTTCTGCTTTGACATTCGTGTCGCAATATTCTTCAACAACGCCGGTTTTTTTAATAAGTTTATGTAGTTTAAATATGGGGCCTGGTCTACCGAATGATTTTTGCTAAAACAAAGTTTTGATTACTCCGGACATGTTGAATAAAACACTTGCAAAAGAAATCTTCCCATTCCAAAACGGCAGCTGCTACAGAATTCATTAACTACAGGAGATTGTAGTGAAAAGAGGAGCTTGTAATATAGATTGCAAGCATCCTTAGATCTAGGAGACAAGTGAAATTCAGAATTTTTATCATAAACAGCTTCGAAAAAAGCAAACATTTTGAATCATACTTAAAGACTCATTGCTAACAATGGGCCTTTGCGAGCGTGGCGACGGTCCAAACAATGGCAGTAATTTTCTACGGATTAATCAAAATTGATTTCAGACAGACTAAAAATGCATTATGGGATGCTTACGTAGCGCAATGGCTCATTGTTAACAATGAGTCTTTAAGCTTTTCCTCTGACACTTTCAGAGTATTTCATGTCAGAACATAGATCGAAAACTTTACGCTAGGAAATATATCTACCCAGTCGTTGATCGAAATTGGCCGATCAGAAACGCTAGCAATAGACAATAAACTGATGGGTAATTCAATCTTGCGAAAAGCGTTCGAGGTTTCCACGAAAACAATTTAGGATTTCCAGGGATTTTAAGATAATACAGAAGTATATCCACCAAAGGTGCACGAGATTTAA